GTACACTGTCGAGTGTAAGAGGTCTGTGAGTCTGTGCACAGTACACTGTCGAGTGTAAGAGGTCTGTGAGTCTGTGCACAGTACACTGTCCAGTGTAAGAGGTCTGTGAGTCTGTGCACACCTGATCAAAGTTCTCCTTCAGTATCATCACGAGAAGGTTGGGCTTCTGTTCCATCATCATGGGTCATTGGATTTGTAACTAATTTACTGCCTATATATGGTGATGATTCACAATTCAGGGATAATTCAGTCACTAAAGATCTAGCAAATTTTTACCTTTGTGTTACAAATACATCCCCTGAAGCACCAGGCAGTGAGATCTGCAAACTGTGGTATCATTACATGGATGCCGTGCAGAAAAAACTGCAAAATGACAATTTTATTTAAAAGCAAATGCGCAATTTCTGAAAGGTTGCAAAACAAAAATAGGGAAGATCTCATATGATTCTAGGAAGTAAAACCAGAATATGCTGAACTGCATAACTGCACGACCATCCATTTTCAAAAGGATTGTTAAGTGTCTTTTGCAGGGTTAAGACCTGAAGAGGAAACATCTACCAGGACCAGCAAGGTGTTTCTCAGATGTTCAGGCACACAGATGATGAGGAGACACATACTGTCACAAGGACCAAGTGACAGCCATGGAGAAAGTGAGAGAAAGCCTTGATTGTACAGCGAACCAAACCAGGGTGACTTTCCAGAAAGCCATTGATCTTAGTGAATAATGAACAAGATAACGGATGACATTTGTAAAGAACGAGTGAGGTCTATATACGCTTCCAGAAACCCTTTGTTATTCCAGAATTAATGAACAAACTTTAAGTAGTCAAAAGGACAGAGTGGTGGCTCTGAGGCTAGGGATCTGTGCCAGTAATTGGAAGGTTGCTGGTTCAAATCCCATGAATGCCCAGAGTGATTCTACTCTGTTGTGCCCTTCAGAAAGGCCCTTAACCTGCAATTGCTTTGTCCTGTGTGTGATGTTAATCTACATCCAGCCCAATAAGCAGGTCATCCAACTTACAGGGAATAACTTGGAGGTTGGTGGCAGGATTGACACTCCAGCCAATGGAAAAATACTCACACTGGTTCATTTGGACTAGTGTGGTGCAGAGGTATCACCTGCCACATGGCTGCACTCAGGCTCTCATCCCTGAGGTGGTTTGTCGTTTGGTGGGTGTGGCAACGCACTGTAATCAGTGCATGCTCCTTACGCACTGTATTCAGTACATGTTCCTTACACACTGTGATCAGTGCATCCTTCTTACACACTGTAATCAGTGCACCCTCCTTACTTCTCTCCCTTTAACTAGTACTTTTATGGGCTCCTCCACAGCCTCCGCGTGAGAAAAGCACAGATAACAGGCTCATCGATTCCATGTATTTCAATGGTGAAATGTGTAATATGACTGTTACACTAGACATATGCAAATGTAAAAAAAACTAATTAGAAAATCAATAAAAACAGCACAGCAGCATTCAGGGGGAAATCTTACAGCTCCCAAGGACTTGTGTAGGCACCAGCATCGCATCTTCCACATGCCCAGAGCACCCTCTACAGCAGTGTGTTCTTTGGTGTGCAGTGTTACACCTCTCCTCAGCCACTGGAGTCAGCAGCTAAGAGGATACCTGCTATGTCCTCATGCAGAGATGCAGGACACAGCAGCCTTGCTAAGGCCATGAGAATCTGTAGGTCTGCAGGAATCCACCGGTGGTGTAGAAGCAGAGTGTTGTCAGAAGCTGCACGGTGCACTGAGGGCAGAATTCCAGAAAGTTCCTCTTTTCAATTTATCCTACACCAGACCAAGGAGGCTCATTATATCACCCCAGGCCAGCCTGTAATTCTCTAGGAATTGTTCATTAATGAGATGGTCCAAGGGGTTCATGACCACCCACGAAAGCAACTTGGCTTCCTGGACAGCGCTGTGTCAAATGCTGTCTTCTGTTGACTTACACAAGTCTCTGCCTTGGCTGGTTGTGAGGGGTGATTCACCTTCCCAGTTCAAAAGATGTGACTGAACACACAGCAAGTTCGATTGATTAGCTCATTGTGTGGCTACCAGGGTTGTTCAGAATTTATGAATTGGATTTTGAATTGACTTGGCCACACCCTGTAAGATGCTGAACTGGAATGACAGTAAGAAGAATTTGATTAATTTCATGTCAATGCAATCACACAAAAACCCGAATGTCATTCAATCTTGCAAAACCAAAACATAACTGATTTCCTTCCAACGTGGTAGATGTATTGACTTTATACTTGTGTGATTGTAAGATAACAATTGTGTAATTGTCTTAGCTTATCCTAACAATATGCATTTGGTTTGTATCAGCCCTCCAAGTCCTTTTCCATGTGCATATAGTTACTGTTTTTGCATATTTAACTGTTTATGTGTGTTAGCATTTGTGAGGGGTCTGCAGTAGCTTTTCCTGTGAGTGTCTGTGGGTTGCAGATGGATTGTATGACTGTATGAAGTGCTCTTTCACCATGGTACACAAAATGACAGTTAAATCATTTATTCTATAGGGGACACTTCAGGTGTGGCATTCATTATGAATAACAGTGACATGCTCAGACTTTTCAGTGTATGCTGTTTATGCTAACATGCTGGGTAATTCATATTGAGATATTAAACTGCATTGTTAAAGCTGTACTTACACTATGCATATGAATTTACATGAAATAAATTCCATTTTAATTCTAATTCCTTATATGCAAAGTCGAATTGCGACTCTGCACCGTGTATTCAAACGATTTATGAATTTAATTTTATTTTCAAGGTCATTCTCAAGTCAGTTCTGAATGGTGCACAACCCTGTGATGGACTCAATTAAAGGGCACACAGGTGTTACAACAACGAGCCCAACTTCCGCTAATTTATAGTCGATATTATAGCTTTATATTGCAATACTAACCTCATCATCGGCATTATTACGTTGTGCTTTTGCCAACGCTGTCAATGTGGTTTTGTCCTCTATTTTGGCCAATATCTGTGTCTTTGTGACAGGACAGCAAGCAGAAGTTAAAATAAAGAACGACGTAGAGAATAACGAGTGGGTGGGAGCGCTCGTCAACCTACGGAGATGTGTGCAGTACAGTGTGCACTGGTGAGTAAGTCTGCAAATACGGTTCAAATTAACTAACAGTTAAAATGTGCATTAAGAGATAACATGCCAGACAAACTTTGACAGTACTTCTCCCGGTCTGAAAAAAATGTCTTCAAGATAACAAAGTAAAAGCTTCTCAGCGTATGATACTACTAAGTGGGAAAGAAACAGAATATCATAGTAAAAGACTATCTTTGTAGACTTTAAGCAACTCCATGATCAGCAACAGGTTTAACAGTTTCATAAGGCGTGTGCCAGAGGTGCGACAATGATGGTTACTACGGATTGTTACAGACCAAAAGTTATAATAAGTCGTGGAAGTCAAAATGTCCTGTTAATCACACAAGGTGTAAAATTAAGTTGTGTAAATAAAAATTGCATGACTGATAATAGAACACATTTGCAGGAAGAAACAACAACAACAAAAAAGACCAAAAAAACACCCACCTACATGCTTAATGGTTAACAAGAGAGGCAGCTAATTCATTTTAACCTCACCGGCCTCTCATCAGTTCTGGCTAAAAAGTTATAAGACGAACCAAGTGCGCACTTCAACGCGCTTTGGCTTCGTGACAAAAATAATTTTATCGGTTATTAAACTACATTAAACTCGCATTCTGGCCACGCGTCCCCGGCGATCGCACGTACCCTGTGCGAATGGGCGTTGCACCGACCGGACGCTCCGGGAATCGCCAACTTCCTGCAGCTGGACGAATAAGATCAATAGATCTTATCAATATGATCGCACTGTCACACACAGCCGACCAGGAGCGCGCCCCAGTGATGACAACAACATATAGAAGGCGACGGCCACACGTTATCGCTCCGAGTCACGTGATTTTCCGGTCACGTGTTCTTCTTCAACGAATCATCTCAACAAAGTGTTCGCTCGTGGCTTGTATTAATAAAGTTTTTTTTGAAACAACATGCCTACCTTCATAAAAGTCCCCTGAAATAACACATGTGAGGCAACCGTGTACATTTAGCCTACTTATGCGAATCTGAGTGTATTATCGGTGTTTTGTTAGAATTACGGCCAGTTAGCTCGTCTTATTTCGCTTCAGCATTTAGTATATATTAAATGAAATGCGTCTGTATGGGATATTGTTTTTATCAATATTGTAACCGAATTAGACACCTCGATAAATCATAATTTTGTTCCAGTTGCATAGCGCGTGATTGTATTGTTTAGATGTGGTATATATGTAACATGATAACCAATATGTATGTATGTATGTATATATTTAACAAATACTTGCAATGATCAAAACTAAACAACCGAGAGCAATATTTGTGACCGTTCTCTTGAATGTTTGTATTTGGCTTTAGTCTTTAATGGCGTCATATCTCTGCGACAAGTAAAATACAAATTTTATTGGCTTTCATATGCTAAATTGTCGCTTGATCAACAATAGATTATTTATTACACCGGTGGGCAATTATATACAAATATTTCCGGGGGCTAGGACAATCCCTCTCAGTATGGTGCCCTGAGAGTTCCTGCTGCACCAGATCTTTAGGTGTATTGTACCACCTGCACCTTCAGCAAATCCGTTACAGCTGTTTAAATAGTAATCTGTGTGAGTAAAAATCTGAGGTGGTTTTCTGTGTCTGTCTAGACTGAGTACAAATCAGCGTTGATGTAATTTGATATTTCCCAAGGTTAATTTGTTACTGTGCCAAATTATGACAGCTAATACACTCTTAAGGACTCTGATGGACGAACAGTTAATTTTTGCTGTAGATGTGAAGTACAGGCTGTGTTTAATGTCTATGCAGCTTAGGCGCAGACCTCAGCGCAGACCTCATCATTGCCAATAAGCAGCAATGCCGGCTTCCCTGAAGAGCCTTCAGCAGATGGCCATCTTTGTCACCGTGGTGACAGGAGGAGGCTGCTCAGTGATGTACTACCTGATGCAAAGTAAGACATCCAACTTGTTTGAGAGGACAGTGAAGCATGTGGAGGACGGTCATGTGACTCAGACATCACCTTTCAGTCGTTCATAATTTTCATCTTTATTTTCCCACGATTAGATTGGAGATTCAAGAGGCTTATTCGTCACGTACACATGTAGTGAATTGTAACCCTGGTCACTCCGAGCAGCTGTGCATGATAAGAGAATAATAAAATATAGAAAAATAACAATATAAAATAAAAAAATACATGAAATGTTCAGCTGTACATAATCTATACATAAGTGATAAGGTAAAAGTGATTGTGCTGTGCAATATAAGCGCAATGTGCTTGTTGCATTTTTAGTGTTATGACAAATCAGGTTGCTGGTCAACATTGATATTGAATATTTTATTTAGTTTTCTTACTTTCAGTGGTTCCGTGGACAGTGATGGCGTTCACCACCACTCAAGCCACACATTTGAGGGGGCCCCCCTGTTGGCCATAAACAGTCATTACACTAGGGGGTCCTAGAAAAAACCCCCGCCCCTGCTCTATATTGATTCTCTAGAAAAAAGAAATGAAGGAAAAAGTGAATCTGCAGAAGAGTGAAAGGCTAAAAGCCAGCGCTCTCCAGCTTTTCAAATGCGAAACAGGATGATGCTGATGTTGTGTTTATTTACCGCAGAGAACTTCTCCAGGTCTGATTACTGTCGCCTGGCCCTTGAGCGCCTGGAGGCCCACCCTCCAGCCATGGAGAGCCTGGGCGCCCCCCCTCTGCGAGCTCACAATATCCGGCTGACAGATCGGCACAACCGCGTGGACCCTGCCAGGGCTCAGGTGGGGGCGTATGGGGGGGCTCAGCTGGGGCCCCCAGCCGCTCAGCACTGCTCCGCCCGCAGCCCAGCACCTGATGGGTTTGATGCTCGTTAACAAACTGCTGTCATGTTTCAGATAAAAATCCCCGTGTCAGGGACGAAATCGGCCGGCTACCTCTACACATCCTCGACGAGGGATGTACGCCTCAACAGGTGGGCTCATTCTTTAATGATGAGGATAAATTCTTTATTTGCCATTTGCACAGTACAGGTACACTGGGATTCTGCTCTTTGCCGGCCGTTTGCAGTACAGGTACACTGGGATTCTGCTCTTTGCCGGCCGTTTGCACAGTACAGGTACACTGGGATTCTGCTTTTTGCCGGCCGTTTGCACAGTACAGGTACACTGGAATTCTGCNTTTGCCGGCCGTTTGCACAGTACAGGTACACTGGAATTCTGCTCTTTGCCGGCCGTTTGCACAATACAGGTACACTGTAATTCTGCTCTTTGCCTGCCCCATCTTGCCCTCCTGATGTAACTGTTCAGTTACTGAACGCTTTCTTGCACCCCTACCCAGACTGTCAGCTGAGAGGCGAAGGCCTGAGCACAGTCAGGGGCCCCAGAACATGCTGGAATGGTGTTTAGGGTGTCTGTATCTTACTGTTTCTTACTGGTCCAGGTGGTGTCTGCAGGAAGCGGTGCTCTTACTGCGGGACGGCCGGCGGATCGATGTCCTTGGAGCCGGCGCTGAAACCCCAGACCCCCCCTCACCCCAGGACTTTGGTTTTTAATGCTTGTAATCACCTCCCCCATCCTCCTTCTCCAGGACCCTAGGGATGGCGGTACCTTAACCATATTAGCACAGACACAGGAAGGGAACCCAGGCAGACAGAACTGGCTGAAGGAGACGTCCCGCCTTTTTCAGTGTAATAATAACAAGATTGTCCATTAAATTGTGTTTGTTATTTACACTGCACACACTGATTTATCTCTGGTTTGCTAGTAGTTAGCTAGCAACGTGGGGCTAGCAGATGCTATGCAGCAGTTAACTCACAACTGGATCTGGTGTCAGTTGTCCTGTGCTTAGGGATACCGTACTCCTGTTCAACTGATTTCAGATTAAAATGAGAATGATGAACGTGAGCCCATTAGCCATGGTACTAGTAATAAATCACATACGGTTGTGTGCAATATTTTCACAGCAATACATTAAGTGGTTCAGTCTTTTTATTGTTTATCTCATTTCCCTGTTAGCTCCCAGTATGAAGTCTACTGGCAGCCTGTTTGGCCCCTGGTTAGCAAAGGTGTCATGCGCCGTATAGCGACGCTCTGGTCAACGATGAATGACATATACGATGGCGATCCCATAGGATTATAATGGAGCTGTTTATGAAAAACCATATTACCTGTGCTGTATAGACCTTTTATTTTGTATATAATGTACACTATATTGCCAAAAGTATTGGGACTCCTGCCTTTACACACACAAACTTTAATGACATCCTATCATTTGAGAGGTCAGGCACTGATGTTGGACGAGAAGTTTGGAGGTCTGTAGCTATTGACTCTGCAGACAGTTGGCGACTTCTGCACACCATGCGTTGTCCCCGCTCTGTGATTTTACGTGACCTACCACTTCATGGCTGAGTTGCTGTTGTTCCCAATTGCTTCCACTTTGTTATAATACCACTAACAGTTAACCGTGGAATATTTGGTGGAAATTTCACAAATGGACTTATTGCACAGGTGGCATCCTATCACGGTACCACGCTTGAATTCACTGAGCTCCTGAGATAGACCCATTCTTTCGTAAATGTTTGTAGAAGCAGTCTGCATGCCTAGGTCCTTCATTTTATACACCTGTGGCTATGGAAGTGATTGGAACACCTGAATTCAATGATTTGGAGGGGTGTCCCGATACTTTTGACAATATAGTGTATGTATAAGTTACAATATAGGCGATTTGCTATTACTTGTTTTCAATGTCAAAAATGTATTTTTTGCCCTGTTTGATTTCCAACACCGAGCAGTACCTTGTACCCTTTTATCCTCTGATGGAAGCTGTATTATTACACATGAACAAAATGTGTCATTCTGATGGACGTGACAATGAGAAAACAAAAAACACACTGATTCCATTAATGAGCCAAATTGAATTTGATTAAAAACTGGCATCACAAATACTAATAATAAGAAAATAGAAAATTCCACAGCCAGGCAAAGCAGGGGTCTCCATCTGGCACAGATCAACATCAGAAACTGTCATACACTCACAGATCAACATCAGAAACTGTCATACACTCACAGATCAACATCAGAAACTGTCATACACTCACAGATCAACATCAGAAACTGTCATACA